GTGCAAATTTAACAAATGGTGAAGCAGAAAGAATCTTCGTCTCATATCTGGCAACCATGTCGCTGTAGTACGTTGGCATCGGCACGTCTTCGGGCACTTGAGATTCGGGGGACGTAGGCGGGACGTGAGATGCGTGCAAGGACACAAGAGGGGGCCTCTCTTCCACGGATGGCTCCTCAGTCTGTTCGGTTGACACGGTGCCTTCGGCGGTGACCATTGAAGTACCGTTGCTGGTCTGAGAAGGCAGCTCGGGGGTCGACGTACTGACAACTGCAGCGTCCTGCTTGGCGCTCTCAACGGACGCGCTTAGAGATCGCGGAGCATCCTCCGGAGGTTGACGAAGGGATGATGCCAATGAAGATGCTTCATCGATCTCAGCGGGCAGCTGGATATACTCATCTCGCATCAAGCATGTTTCCAGCTTCAAGTTGTAGACGACGTAGACCATGAACTCCGTGATCTTCTTCATCTTTGACAAGACTTCAGTAGAGTCCCCACGGAGGGCGATGGTGCAGCCAAGCTTCTCGGAGCAGCCCGACAAAAATATGTATGTTTTCTTCTTGCCCGGATAGCTCTTGTTGACGTAGGTTTTGACCTCGAAGCCGCCAGACCTTCCAACCTGGACCTGCAAGGCGAGCATGTCGAGCGAAGAAATAATGTCTGTTTCCGCACACCGTGATACGGCTTCAATCACTGACGGTTTCACGTTGTACGCAACCGCGATATTAGCCTCAGAAAGATACTGTAAAGCAACGCCAGAAACAGACTTTTCGCAGAGCAGTAGCTGAGGGCGCAGATTGATGATGCGATTGACGACGATTCGCAAGAACTCCTTTTCTTGTTCGATGACTGGCTGGAGGCTCATGAAATGCTGTTGGTGCCTCTGGTATTCGATAGGGAACGATACGATGACAATACGTGGGTTGATGATGCGGCGAGGCATGCTCTTCAGGGCGAGGTTCTTGGTGAAGATGACGCCGGAGACGTAGCTGGTGTCGCCTGGCTTGCCCCCCGGAATCTTCTTGAGTTTGACGTAATGACGGATGTCCATATCGTCGCCAGCCCTAATGTCGGGCGTAACGTCATCCGTACATTGAAGCAAGATCGGAACTAGAGCCCTTTCCCAAGCGGGTACGTTGGGAATTCCTGAATCTTCGAGCAACTGATGTAGGAGTTTCTTCACATGGAGCATGCTCGACGGGTTCAGCTCCACCTGCGGCTGCTTGTCGTCTTGCATGGAGTCGCTCCTGGTCAGCTTAGTAGCTTCTATGGCGGGATTCTCGATAGTGAAGACATTTTCGTTAGATGCCGAGGGTCCTTTGAATATTCCAGATTTCGGACGTGGAGACCGCATTTGATGGCTCACATTGCTGAGATTGCGTCTCCTTGCTGGCCGACCATGGCCAATGAGGCTACCGGAGCCGGCGTTGTCATCCATTCCTCGACTCGTGAAACTCAAGCCACTGACACTTTTTTCTCCTCGGCCGAGCCTGTGTCTCCTGCCCGCGCTCAAGAATGGCCCAAAACTGGACTTTTCGTGATCGTAACTTGACGGCTGCAGATCAGCACTTGACATTGTAGCAAATATGCTCATTTGCTCGTCACCACTGGACTCGTCTGACATGTAGGCAGCCAATTCTGGGTCGATGATATTGTCATCGTGAAATGCCGGGTACTTTGGTTTCTTTGTCATTTCATCGGTAATGCCTTTGCGGAAGGGAGCGCTGTTAACATCTGGCGCTGGCATTGGTTTAAAGCGTGCCAGGAAGTTATTATGATGTTTTGAATGATGGCGCTTGTGACCTGACGACTGCGGACGGTTCGCGGAGGTCAGAGATCTGAGTGAGCGAGACGAGCTCGGACGACTTAGTTGCGGCGCATCAATTTCAAGAATGGCAGAGTTCCTGTTCGAGTCGTTGATTCGTCTGGTGGCAGGAATGGCCATCATTGGGGTCTGAACAGATCTGGCGTCATTCAAGCCCTCCATCTTGTCCGCAAAACTGGGCTCTTCAACCTCAGCTTCGGCCTGCGTGACCTTGGGGGTCGCCTTGGTTTGTCGGAAAATAGCCGGCAGAAATGAGTCATCACCAGAGTCTTCAGAGCCGCTTCCTTCGTAAAGCCGCTGGTTGATGACTTTCAGACATGTTTTGCATACTCGCAGAGTGCCAGTCATTCCAAACTTTGAGGCTGGAATGATGGAAGTGCACTTGGAGTCGAAGATGCAGCCACAAGTTCTGCAATGGTGTTTCCGCCTGAATGCCGAGAACGGCTGGCCACAGATGAAGCACTCTTTGCACGTTTCGTCCGCCATCCAGAACTCCTTGCTCAGCACTTGTCGCCGCATACGATCGAGCCTGGCGTTGACTTGCTCTGGCGCGCCCTCATTAGTCGTTGTCCCAGGAATTCGGAGTACCCCAGTCCTTCCATGCTTCGGTTGAGAGTCGTGAGCGAAAGAGTCATGATACACTGAATCGTGTGCCGAGGTGCTGATTGGGCTTGGCTCCGCGGTGACATGCTCCATAGACGATGATCTTGAAGGCGCATACCCAGGCGATCTTGAGCGGCTGATTCGATCAATAACCGCCGGTCGCTTAGGCGCGATAAGCATTGATGCAGCCGAAGACACTGGTGATCGAGGATCCGTCGTTTGCAACTTAGGTAGCGGCGGAGCGTTGGCCTTGATAGGGCTCAGAGGCTTTTCAGCAGGTCCATCAACGCCTACCAGCCGGGAGCTTGCATGGCTTCGATCTATGGCGGCGGTGGGCTTGGGCTCGAGAACGTCAAACTTATGGGAGCTGTCGGAGCCTATGACTAGTGGCCGAGGATCAGGCTTGCTGATGCTGCGCCTGCCAGATGACCGACTAGGACCGTCTTCTGCGAGTGGCAGGCTTCTTGTCGCCGTGGCGGGCGCGACCTCCGGGTTGATAGCCGTGACTGCTGACGCTTTGGCAACACTAGGCATACTTTGTCGGCTCGAGGTGCTTGACTTGGATGCTGTCATGGCAGATATGGAGGTGGCCTTGGAGGACTGAGGGGGCTGAGACTGGCTATCCGACATGGCGGTATTTACTCCCGAAGAGGTGGTCGCCGTCATGGGCCCGTCATTGGAGTTGAAAGAAGAGCTCGTAACAGCACTCTCGACGCGAGCAAGGGAGGCTGCCGGAGTCTTGGTCGAGGTGACCGTGCTAGTGCTACGCTTCGACGCCGCGTCGAAACTGTCGGCATCATCCGTATCCTGTGTCCTTGCTCCAACGGCACCGACGGCCTCTTTCAGGCGACTATACAGACCACTGAGCCCGTTCTGAACCAGCTCGCCAGTCAGCGCCTTGGTTTCCGTCGTGGGGAGGGAGGCGGGAGGCGGAGCGAAATCGTTGAAGGTTGTCAGAGAGTCGGACTGGCTCGCTGACGTATGTATCCGGTTGAGAGTATGGGCCAGCTGGTCTTTATCGGCCTGCGAGGCGGTAGATATTGAGTTGATGGAGTCATGGCGGCTCCTAAAGCCCGGGGGCGTCGAGAGGACCGCGGGAGAGTTCGCTTTCGGGGTGGTGTTGCTGGCCATCTTGCGCAGAGGCAGAGATAGAACAGCTAGGCTATGAAGGATTCGTGGGGGTCGCTACGACATCGGAGGCAGTGTATGCGTAGCCGGACCTCAGAGTGACATAACGGCGGAGAGAAAATGCGGTGTCGTGAGAAGCTTCCACCGCCAGTCCTTCTCCTCGTCGTCTAGTCCTGCCCGGGTCGTACAGTGTGTGTTCGCAATGCGCCGGATGAAAGAGACGCGTTCGGCGGCGGGGGCCCGTTGAAGAAGGCTCTCGTGTTCGTGGTATTTATGCGAAGGCAAGTATCGGATCGTCTCGACAGGGTCGGTGGTCTCGGGCGAGATCAAGGGTCCAAGGAGGGGCGCAGGTGACGAGGAGGAGAAACGACGTGGTGAAGGTGTAGGTCAGGCTCTAGGTAGTTGTGTAGGTAGGGCGATGAAGGAGAAAAGGGTGTGGTGTGTCGTCTGAGGTAGGTATGTATGCCTAGCACGCTTAGGTAGTCTGCAGTGGGAGCTAATGTCTTCAAGTCGGCACCGGGTTCTTTTTAGAGACGGACCATCCGTGAGCCAGCAAGCACTATCCCGTCAAGGTCTAGGCCCGGGTGGCCCAGCGGCTGCCAAGTTGGTGGAATCGTCAAACGGGGATGACGAAGCTGGTGGTGGTGGTGGTGGTGCAGTGGGCAGTTGGCAGTCGGTAAGTCCAAGATACAACGTCTGCGTTGTACAGCCGGGCTTACCAAGAGTGATGCCTTGAAATGGTTGGCTTTGGAAATGTTTTGGGGGCATTCGTAGGACGGATCAAGAGCCGTTGCAGCGGTAGTAGCAGTGCATGTGGATGTACCCGGTACCCGTTCCGACACTTGCCCAGCGGCCACTGCGACCCACCTATACAAGGAACGTACTCTGCCTCTGCCTCTGGAATTGCGCACCTTTGATCCAGATGCCGTGGTGTCTTCCCTCAGAAACCAGAGCTCGGACCAAGTGCTACCTAATCAGTGCTGCCCCACGTCCCCAAGTCGGGCGGGCTGTCAGCCAGGACCCCGCAGTGCCAGGCATGTCGCTATGTGACCTCAGGTAGGCGCACGCTGGAGGGGACTTTAAGGGTTGACACCAAAAAACGCGTTTCCGGCGCGTCACCTCCAGCAAGCTTCCCACCCGCCCAGCTCTTCAACAAGTCCCGTCGTCCACGGGGTAACGACTTGGAGTGACACCTCTCTGGACCACCTCAGGTTGAGGCTTGGATTGGTGACTTTTACTTCTGACCAGACCCATCCGTTTCCAGCTCAGGTCCCCGAAGTCAACAAGTTTCCCATTTGTTGACCTTCCTCTCGATCATTTCCAACACCCTTACCAGCATCAACCCAGGCACTTGCGCCAAAGTGAGGCGATCTACACTTGCAGCACAGATGCCAATCGGCACAGTTTTTTCCTCCCACCAACATAGATCACATCCATTGTCACAATGACTGGTCTGGGAGGCAGTCCGGGCTCTTCCGCGACTCAGTCCTTCAAAGCACTTTTGAGTGAAGGTAACACCATCAGCCGGAACCTTGCAAAGGTGCCCAAGGACCAGCAAAAGCTCCTTGACAGACCTGACTCCTGGTTCACATCTCACAAAGACACCAATGGACCACCTAACCTCCCTGCCGGGGTCCTTGAAAGCCTCAGAGAATTCCACGCAGCCCGTACCCTTCCACCCCCGGCACAGAAGCCAAGAGCACCTGTCTCGAGTGTGCCTTCCCCGACGGGAAACGCAAGACCAGCTGTTGTTCACAACTTCTCTGACCATGGGCAGTCTTCTTCATCTTCTTCCTCTCCTCCAGGAACCCCGGTCTCCTGGCCTTCATCTCCAGAACGCCCTCGACATTCGGCCAACCAACCTGCATCTCCGACCCTTTCCATCAAGTCCCAAATCGGAATCGAAAGTCAGCTTCCTGCCACAGCAGCAACGGCAAACCTCCCAAGCAGTCCTCCCCAGTTTTCATCACCAAGCATACCTGCCCCCAAACGCTTCGATCCACCGGCCAACTTTCCTCAGCCAACTTTGAAGCGCCGCCGTGTTGAGGAATTCCCATCCAGCAGCGGCGGGTTCGAAGACGAACTGGAGACAGCCATTCCGAACGCACTTTTCCAAGCAACGCCGCCCATCAATCGAATCGCAGCCCACCTTTTGACGAGGTCTGAAGCTGCCACCAGCCCCCCGTGCGGACAAGGAAGCATGGTTCCATCAAGTTATAATGACGGGCGAATGACTTTCAAATCATCGACTCCTAAGGAGAGGCGAAACATGAAACTTATCACCTTCGATTCCTCCCCTGGGGCATCCACTGCTGATCGCCCGCTCGAAGCAACGCCAGATGAGTTGCCTACGATTCCTCTTTCTCAGCCCCGAGAGAATCGTGTACCGGTATCATCAGGCCCCTGCATCGCCTCGACATACGCGGCCGACTCCCACCAGTCCGCTCAAGCGCCCCAAGTTGTTCACGATACCCCGGGTGCTCCCAGAACCCTCGCCCGCGCTCCAGGAGCTGAGAATTTCTTGGCTTCACAAGCAGAACCTTCGGGTTCGAAGTCAGGCACAGGTCTCCCGGAGGCCACAATTACAGATGAGCAGAGGGCAACAATTGCAGAGGAACGGGATCCCATGATCATAGAAGATGCTGAAGAGGAGACTATTGGCATGAAAAAGCCAGTGCTACGCGTGAGTATGGACGATCCCGTACGTTGGAAGAAGGCAGATGACAAACGGGAACTCATCCAGTGGTTGAATGATAATTGGGCGGAGTCCGACTGGCTTCCGCCGCTTTTGCAGGAGTATCGATCCACTCTTTCCTTCAGCAGTCTCAAGACCTTGCAGAATATTACCAAGCTAGCCATTGATGGAGGAGTTGATCTTTTGAGTCTATGGGCTGAACCCGACGGCTGTCTTTACCGCACAATCTCGAGGCAAACCAATGGAAAGCTCTCCTTTCCTGAAGATCTGAATCACGAAGCTCTTGAGCCTTTGGCGAAGGCTTCACGACTGGCAAGAGAGAGAAGAGCTGCGCAAACCGCCAACCCCACTGCGCTACAACGCCAACCAAGTGGCGAGCCTTTTGCAGTCGCAGCTCCCGTCAGAGATGAAGCGGCTGTGGAGAACGCAGAAAACGACTCAGCGAAATCAGGCAACATGTTGCTTCCATTGCATGCTCCTAGAGAGGAAACCTTGGAATGCTTCTCGCAGCAACCCGCAAAGGCTTTCCAGAACGCATACCCGTCTTTCACAGGGAGTGTTGCCGATTTTGTCAGGGCGTGCATTGTGGTCAAGGGACTTCAGCGCAAGCATCAGCTTCCCAAATGGCTGTACGATGACTTCATCCGGGCATTCGTGGACGATTACACTTCATATATGGATGAAGTAGATAAGTCGTCCTCTATTGCAAAGCCAATGTCAGCCATAAGATGGTACGTGGCCAATGTTGACCGGCCCGTCTATCAGAAGGAAGTGGTAACGGCCGAGAATCTGGATCGAATCTTCGAAATCTACTCCGAAGAGGTCGGAGAAGCCAAGAAATGGCTCTTGGATGGAGTTTCGTCTTCGCCAATCGTTCTTGAAACGCCGCAGAGGCCGGCCGCGAATGTCTCGATGGCGAGAAAGCACGCTTCACCGACGTTGCCAGTAGCCAGTATGCGGAAGGATGACACGAAGCAACCGCCCAGCGCCTCTGGCACTACGGTCCCCCGCTCGCCTGCTGAAGGTTTGCGTTCGCCTAGGGAGGTGCAAGCTGCATCAGAGGTCGCTCAGGCTCCCATAATTGGAGAGCAGACCAGCGATGAAGCCTCTCTACCCGAACCGAAACTGGACCCCGGCCCACAAGACAAAGGCAAACAACGAATGGCAGCCGAGGAACCTCCGCGTCGTGTCTCTCCAATCACACCAACGCTGCGACGTCAAAAGTCACCTACTTCAAATAATGATGATCTGGTTTTCGTTTCGAGCCACCCGCGATCTCGCCCTACATCAGTCCAAGCGGCCGGTCCAGAGAGGATTATCAAGCATGAGAGCCCAAAGGTCCATCGTACTTCCCCTCTTGATCGGTCTACTCCACAGAAGGTCCCCGCCATCGACCAAGCGAATGGGACCTTGTCAGAGAGACGGCGGACTGGAACCGTTGCAGAGACGCCACCGCCAGCACCGAAGAACGCGGCCGCCTTTCCTGGAAACAAAGTGACATCGGGAGCGGGGAAGACTGCCGTGCGTCGAACTCTACCCGCTTCATTCGATTTCGGCCCTCCTTCGCGTCCTGCGGTTAGCAGCCCGGCACGGAGTACCCTCTCCGCTTCTACCCAAGACGCACGAGTCAAGAAGCCGAAGAAAACGGAGAAGGAAAAACAGGAGGCGTACAGAAGAAAGATCGCGAAGCTTTTCAAGCAGGGACGTCTTCCTGGATCCACTCCTGCGCCTAAAGGCGGGGATGCTTAAGCTGTCTGCGGAGGGTGTTCCAGGAACACGCAGCTTGTCTGATGCCCGACGATTCACATGACGGTGACGTTAGGTGTGATTTGGTTCTGTCCATGTTACTTGGGAGGAAGTTGTTTGGTGCTTCACGCGGGATGAGAAAGAGGAAAATGTCTTCAGTGTTACACATGTATGATACCCCAAGCTTGTGATATTTGTAGAGTTGTATTAGACTATAATGGTACGGACTCAGTTATGGTACTCTGAAAGCAAAAGTCAACTCTGAATTGCTCAGGCAATCAATCTGTCTAGACTGGATCTAGTGGTGCTTTTCGCGCAACCGGCTCTCTGAAGAGTCTTGAAGGTATCTAAATGCCCCTTGTAGAAAACATTTGCCAAAGTCGATAATCCCGTTACAAATTGGCGTTCGTCGTATCCGATTCGTTCGTAAAAAAGTTGTGTGATTTCGTCGCAGCAAGCAAGCATGACTCCGTTTTACAGTTTACACCAAAAAAATGCCCGGTGGTGTGAAATTTTTTCCCATTGGTTTTGCCCATTCATTCGTCTTCTCCCAACTGGTGTGGTCGTTCGTTTCTCTCATATCGATATTTGGTATTCGTTTTTGTTCGTCGCCGTGGTTTGGTTTAAAATAAAAAAGTCATCTCATCTTCGTCGTCGTTGTTTTTCCCTCTTTGTTCAAGTAGAGTCGTCGGACGACTGGGTCTCAGCCTCGGCCTGCTTGGCGGCGGCCTTGGCCGCCTTTGCCTCTCTCTGCTTCTCCTCCTCTTCGGGCGTCAGGGTCTTGAGCTGGAGGGCGTGGATGCCGCCCTCGCGGGACATCTCCTCGCGGAGGAGGGCGTAGATCATGCGGTGGCGGGCGGATTGCATCTTGGTGCCGAAAGCGTCGGAAACGATGACCAGTCTGTGAGGCCATTGGTGTAAGTAAAAGGAAGCCCATCGCTACAACCCTGGCGGGGGATGCTCACCTGAAGTGTGTCTCCTTGGAGGTTTGGCCTTGCATGGCCTTGTGGTGGCTGTGAAGGTGGGAATCGTTGTAAATTTCGAGGGTGGAGGGAGAGAGAGCGGCGGTGACCTTTTGTAGCATGTCAGCAAACAATTTCGTCTCGTCGACTTGGAGGGGGAAACATTCGTACCTTGGCGCGAATTGTGTCCTCGATGGGAGTGGTGGACGACATGTTTGGCGGTCTGGCGTTAGCCGAGAAACCGAGGGCGTATCTGCGCAACATTGGTATCGGTGTTTGAGTGTAGGTCTTTGGTATGTGTTGTGTTGTTGGTGTTGTAGTGAATCCTCCGGTCAAACTCCCAATCCTGCCGACGAAGGGGCGGAATGTGTTCATGGGGAATAAGAAGAGAGGGGAAAGGAGAAAAGAAGGAGAGAAGAGGGAGGGACTTGAAGTAGTATGAAGGCGTGTGTCGCAAAAAGGAGGTGAGCAAGGTGTCCTGGCGTACCTTGGAGAGAGCGTGTGGTGAAAGAGTGGATGGAGACACGGCGGCGGAGGTCAAGGTCACGGCAAGCAAGCAAGCAAGCAATCGAGCAGGCAAGCAGGGCCAGGAACAGACAAGACAAGGACAGGGAATAAGCAAAGTTGCGCGCGTGTACTGGATAGGGATTTGCTAGCCCAACAGCTGTTTTCGGTTTAGGTACGGAGGGCGCGGTGTGGACTGGTACGGGTACGGGGAGCAAGCGGCGACAGAGAGGATGGACGTGGAGTGTGTAGCGTAGACCGAATGTGCGGTAAGGCTTCAGGTACGGTTGCAAGGTTGTTGTTGTGTGCGTGCGTGTGCGTGTATGGGAGGAGAAAAAAATTAGAGAGGTGCGGCAGCAGATTTTCGTCAAACACCCCGGGACGGGGGGTGAGGGGTCCAGAAGAAGTTTCGGTGTGTCGGTGAGAAAAGAGCGGCATGCGGGATGGCCTTGGCAGGCAACATGGCACCGGGATGCCGGCCAATCAGCGGGTCGGGAAGCGTGCCTCTGTCCTTCCGGTTGGTAACCGGCGGACCCCACTCCCAGGGAACTCACCTCCAGTCTTTCCAGAGCCCAGGGAAGACAAGGGAGCGGCGGCCGGGGAGGAGAGTCGGGTGGGAGTGGGAGGGCACGGGGGGCGTTTGTTTTACAGAAAACTTCACCTCAGACTCTCTCCATCATCCATCCACACTGATGAGCGTTGCGTTTCCAGGTTCTCTACGGCTTCGCTGGCCGGGCCCACGGGTTGGGTTGGGCTGTTCTTTGCAACCAGGTCCATGGTGCCAAATGTGCCCATCGCCCCTCCAAGCGGTGCCCTTCCATGGTTCACCTTCTTTTTTGTTTTCTTTTTTTCCGCCCCCTTCTCCCCGTGTTCCCGCCGCTTGGCTGACACCTTTGGGTTCAGCTTCTTGCCTACCAGAGTACACACCCCGGGCCTGGCGCCAGGCCTTCCTCGTGTGAGTGTGAGGTGAGGTGGTTAGCTTTGCTTTTGCGTCGGATTCTGGTTCGCTGTTATGCCCACCGCCCTTCTTCTTTGCTTCTTTCCACGGACCATCTGCCCCCCTGTCAAAACCCGTGGTGTGTCCTCCCCATGCCGGTCCCGTCACATCCCAATGGACGGTAAAGGGATGATGAGGAGTCACATTTACGATTTTAGTGCGCAGGGTGGGCCGGGCTGGAAGAAGGCTAGAAAGCCATTGGAAGACGTTGGACAGAAACGAACCGGGGGTCCAACGCGGTGACCATCTCGAACATTTGTTGACCGTCCACAGCATGGGCTGCATACCGCCCGCGCGGAGTGGGAGAGGCTAGTGTCCTCTGGGAGAGAGCTCAGAGGAGTCACTCACTTGCTGGCGGCAGAGGACGCACGTAGAGAAACGCTCACCGCGTGTTTCCCAACCCCCGTCACCGTCACCGCGCATCCCTTCCTCTGACATCTGCGAGCACGAGGCCTTGCGGGCACCACAGCACAGCTCCGCTTTAGCGCAAGGCACCATTGGCACCTGATCACAAAAAAAGGCGTGTCCAGATATCTGCTTTTCCCTTCCCATCCCCCAAGCACCCAAAGCAAGGCCCAAACGCCCCTGTCGGCCGTCCCAGACTTTCTATCTGTTGTTGATTCACAATGTCGCCAATGCATGAGGGCGGAGAACAACTGAGCTTCTAAATAGGACGACGTGGGCCTTGCATGGAACTCCAAGAGTCCAGGAGTGAAAGTGCGGTGGTGACGTGTGATTGCGGCGCCGTTTTGCAGCGGCAGAAGCAGAAGAAGCGCAGCAAGCAGGATGTAGCAAGCATCAAGCATGAGAAAGCAGCAGCAACGGCCTCACATGAGCAGAGCGAGCCGAAGAACCGACGGTGAGGAAGGTGAGTCGACAGGAGAGATGGGCAGCATCGAGATGTACGGATACGTAGCCGACATGCGCACAGAGGCACACGTCTTGTCTTGTCCTTCATCTTCTTCTCAACTTCACCCCCATTTCTGTCCGTCTCATCCCTCTTGAGCTACAGAATGGAACCCTATGGGACGCTACGCGATGGAGGGACGGATAGGCACCTCATCCCAAAGGTCCGCCGCCTCAAACTGTCCCCACTAACGTTTCTCAACGCTCGGCGTGCTGCGGTGATGTAGTAGTGTTGATGATTTCCATGGATGTGACAATGTGACGATGGTGTTTGCTGCCCGCCGTCCTGGTGTAGAGACTGGACTGGAACATCTGATGATCCCATCTTCATTCATACCCTGCCCGCGTCCCACGACATTGGATGAACTTGGAATGGTGGACATCTCCACCCGCCTCACCTCACCTCACCACGGTCCTTCACCAACATGGAAGTCACAGCAGCCGCCATCACGGCCTCCGTGGACCACAACCTGCGCCGGACACCACACTGTACCCGCGGCGCACGCACACCCCCGACTCCCACTGTCCTTCAGAGAACCGTTCCACCGCATCACAGAACCACACCACCTCAAAGTGCTCCAAGCTTCCCGACGCCCCGCTAAGCAAGCCACAGTTTTCCGTCCGGTCTTCGGCAGATCCAGCCGGCGGTCCTGCAGGGAGAAGTCCGATCCGGGACCTGACAGTGCCGCCGCAGACCACCCACCACTTACCACTGCTACCAGTACCAGCACAGCAAGGGCCGAGCAAATGGAGAGAAAAAAAAAAAAAAAAAAAAAAAAAAAAAAAAAAGATCCGACGGCATACACCACGACGCTGCAGACTGCACTGCACTGCACTGCACTCTCACCTACCTAACCCGACTCCCGAGAGCAACACTACCTTGCCTTGCCTACCACATCGACGGGGTCCGTCCCCCCAATATCCACTCCGGCCTCCGATCCCTTAATCATAACGCAATTGATAACGGACGCATATCAATCTTGATCCCCCTCCCCTTTCCCCCACCCATGTTGGCCTCCGGTTTGCGGAATGTAGCACGACGGCCCGGTTGCTGCTGCTGCTGCTCCCAAGCATCGCCAACAACACCGTTCTCAGCCGCCGCCGCCGTCATCGCCGCCGGAGTACCGTCCGCAACCTACAACAACCTTCCCCCGCGTCTCAAAACATCCCGATTCTTCGCTGCCGCTGCGCGCGCCTCGCAATCCCTCAGAATGGCTTCCACGACATCCCTCCCGAGGCTGCCCCTCTTCGACGCCATCTCCCGCCACGACCCCGAGTCCACCGCCGTCATCCACTCCCTGTCCGGGCGCCGCTTCAAGTACGGCGAGCTGCTCGGCGATGTGCGCCGCGCGCGGAACCAGCTGCTCGAGTCGTCTGGCAAGCCGGACCTTAACGGCGAGCGCATCGCGTTCCTGGTGGAGAACAGCTACGACTATGTAGGTAAGCCAAGAGATCGCAATAACTGCCAAACCCTCCTTTCACATAGGCCATTGAAATACGAACATTGCTCCTGACACTCTATGCGCTTCTCCGCAGTAACCCTTCTCGCCGCCTTCGCAGCCCGATCCATCGCCGTCCCCCTCTCCCCGGCCTTCCCCGCGGCCGAGCTCCAATACATCCTCAACCAGAGCGAAGCCTCGCTCCTGGTGTCCTCGGCCAAGTTCGCCGCCAAGGCGAAGGAAGTCCTCGCGACAGAGCTCGTCTCGAAGCCCGCGCAGCTCGAACTCAAGAAACACCAGGGTGGTGCCCCGCACGAGCAGGTTGAGCTGGACAGCCCCGACGCCGGCGGTGCGGGCATGATGCTCTACACCTCGGGAACTACGAACAGACCGGTACGCAGGAAGAGCCATTGGGTTTCAATTTCGGATATTAAACAGCAAGCTAACATCCCCACCTAGAAAGGCGTCTTGCTCCCTCAGTCCGTCCTGACGGCGCAGTCCAAATCCCTCATCGAGGCGTGGAACTACACCCCGGCAGACCACCTCCTGCACGTCTTGCCCCTACACCACATCCACGGCACCGTCAACGCCGTCCTCACGCCCCTCCTCGCCGGCTCCACGATCGAGTTCATGTTCCCCTTCAACGCCGATGCCGTCTGGAAGCGCCTCGCCGCGCCCTTCATAACCTCAAACGGCACAAACGGGACCAATGGCACCAATGGCACAAACGGCGTCAACGGAACCCACGCACCACCCCCCAAGGAGAAGATCACCTTCTTCACCGTCGTGCCAACAGTCTACTCCCGCCTCCTCGCCACCCACAAGGCCCTCCCCCTCGACCCCGAAGAGCCCACCCGCGAGGCCGTCTCCCCGAAACACATGCGCCTCGCCATCTCTGGCTCCGCCGCCCTGCCGACCCCGATCAAGGAGGCCTGGAAGACCCTCAGCAAGGGCAACGTCCTCCTCGAGCGCTACGGCATGACCGAGGTCGGCATGGCCCTCAGCTGCGGCCTCGACTTCGCCGACCGCGTCGACGGCAGCGTCGGCTGGCCCCTGCCCGGCGTCGAGGCCCGCCTCGTCGACATGGATACCGGCGCCGTCATCCCCTCGGGCGAGGACGTCGACCCCGCCACCGGCCGCGAGCGCTCCGGCGAGATCCAGCTCCGCGGTCCCACAATCTTCAGAGAGTACTGGCGCAACCCCGAGGCCACCGCCAAGGAGTTCGTCGAGGGCGGGGACGGCCGCGGCAAATGGTTCAAGACAGGCGATGTGGCCGTGCGCCGCCGCGTCGACGGCGCCGGGCTCAACGCTGCGCAGGCCTCGTGGGCCAAGGGCGACATGTACTTCATCCAGGGCCGCAAGAGCGC